AGGTGATGTCCTGTGAAATGTATGTACCCAGGAATTTGAAGTCCTCAACCCTCTCCACAGTGTCTCCATTGATGTAGACCGGGGAAAGGTCAGTCCTCTTCCTGCGGAAGTCTACCACCACCTCTTTGGTCTTAGAGGTGTTGAGAGACAGGTTGTTGGTGGAGCACCAGGTGGAGAGTTTTTGGATTTCATCCCTGTAGGCTGACTCATCATTGTTGTGAATGAGTCCAACCACAGTGGTGTTGTCTGCAAACTTAATACAAGTATTGCTTTCATAAGCTGGGGTGCAGTCGTAAGTGTATAAAATGTAGAGTAAGGGACTCAACACACAACCCTGTGGGGCCCCAGTGCTGAGTGTGAGAACAGAGGAAAGTTGGGAGCCCAGACAAACTGACTGGGGACGATCTGTGAGGAAGTCAAGGATCCATCTGCAGATTTTTGTGTTGATGCCCAGTCCATGTAGCTTGGACACCAGTCTTCCAGGGATGATGCAGTTGAATGCAGAACTGAAGTCCACAAACAACAGTCTTGCATAGGTGCCAGGATGTTCAAGGTGGGTCAGCACACAGTGCAGGGCTGTGTTGATAGCATCCGCAGTTGACCTGTTTGCTTTATAGGCAAACTGGTGCTGGTCCAGTGTGGAGGGGAGGGAAGCTTTTATGTGATTTAACAGCTGTCTTTCAAAGCACTTCATGACAGTGGAAGTTAGGGCCACTGCTCTATAGTCATTAAAGCTACTCACAGCAGATTTTTTCGGAATCGGCACAATAATGGCAGATTTGAGGCACTTGGGGATGGAACAGGTAGACCGAGAGAGGTTGAAGATGGAAGTGAATAACACAGCCAGCTGGTCGGCACAGTCCCTCAACACTCTCCCAGGGATCCTTTCGGGCCCGGCAACCTTTCTGGGGTTTATGCCAAGAAGTGCCCTCCTGACCTCCTCTGCCCTCAAATAGAATGTCAGGGCATCTGTGGGCAAGAGTGTTAACGGTGTGGCTGATGTTGAGTCAGTCCTGGTCTTTTGAACCCTTAAAGTTTGTGAGGTGTTGGATTCCCTGCCAAACACGCCGGGGATCCCCCTTTAATTTGGATCTGGCGGTGCTGTATAATTCCATGTCCTGAAGACTTTATCACGTTTTGTCAGCAGCAGCTTGACCTCCCTGTTCATTCATGGTTTGTTGTTTTGATAGCGTTTGACCTGTCTCTCAACATTGACATTATCAGTGCAGGTCTTAATGTAGTGCAGGTGTAATCCTCAAGACTCTGCTGTGAGAAAAGTGCCCAATCAGTGCGCTCAAAACAGTCTTGCAGTTGTGAAGTCGCAGTAGCAGGCCACAGTTTTGTTAATTTCACCGTGTGCACAGATCTCTTAAACACAGGTCTGTATGCTGGTGTGAGAAAGAGGGTCAAATGGTCAGACTGCCCTAAATGGGGGTGAGCGGAGACCTTGTATGCCCCTCTGATTTGTCACCTCTGGTTGAACATGTTACATGCTGATGAAATTTGGGAAGGACAGTACACAGATTAGCATGATTAAAGTCCCCTGCCACAATAAAGATCCCAGTTGAAGAGTTGCCCATTCTATTGGCCAGGTGTGCTGTACGGCCCGCTAGCATGATTGCTTCGTACAGAATCCCAGAGTGCAGCCACGTCTCTGTGATCACTACCAGTGAGCAGTCCTTAGCATATCGGTTTACCAAGGACTGTTTGCATATCCTTGATGATCATCGCCAGCTCATCCATCTTGTTGCATAGTGATCTGGCGTTGGACAGAAGAAGGCTGGGTAGCGCGGGCCTGTGTGGTGCCCTCCTTAACCAGACCCGGATCCCTGCTCTGCAACCTCGCTTCTGTCGTCGGTCTCTGCGCTGCCTCCTGCGTCTACCTCCCGGGGTAATAATCCACTGGCTCCCCGCTGGTCGTATGATCTCCAGTGGCAGATGTTCAAAGCTGTGAGTTTTGCTTAAAACTGATTTACCATACAGTGTCCCAATCTTTAAAAGTTCCTGTCGATTATATGTCGGGGTGTTTGTTGACACGGAAATAAACAAGACAAACAAATACAACCACAAAGGGAAGAGCAAAGCTGCTGCAGTCACCTGTGCTGCCATTTTGCCAAAGCTGTAGGTTGTTTTAATCAAAACATTTGGTACATTCACAACATTGTCACAAGCACACAACGTATTAACACAGTGGCTTGGACATGAGACGGAGGGGAGGGGCTCTGCAACATCGGCCGGCTGCTCTCCCTCCTCAGCCAGTCATTTTGTCGGCCGCTTCTTCCCCCAGCCGCAGGTAGGCTGGCAGGGGGGTCTAGGCTGCACCTCTGGCCGCGATGTAGATCCCCTCGCCTGGGTGCAATCCCTGGGCGGCCCGGTGTCTCGGGGAGGGCGTCGTGCTTCCGTGAATCCACCCTGAGTGAGCACGACGAATCGGTCTGTAGAACCCCTCCCGGAGCCGACTCACCGGCTTAGGCGGGATGGGGGGGGGCAGTGCTAGCCCGACGCACCCCGCCACTATAGCCATAACCGCCGACTGAAGAGGAATTCATTTGCTCTTTAGACAAGGCCGAGATGGCCGCAGTAGAGGTGGCCGATGCAGATGACAGGCTGTCAGCATCGTCTTCGATCGGTGGCGGCAGGGACGGCAAGGAGCTTGAAGCCGACTGAGGCGGTTGATCGGGGGCTCGGAGCATCCTTCTCAGCAGGGAGGGGATCCGGTCCGGCATCTTCCTCGCTCTCCACCGCAGATGAGGGAGAGCTCACACTGCTGGAAATGCTCCCAGTGCTTCTGTCGCCATGAGAGGAATCGCTCGGCAGTCAACACACGGCGGCGGTTGACGGATGCCATCTCTGGCATGGTCCCTGCCGAGGCATTCAAAGCAGAAGTGATGAGTGTTGACCCCGGCAATCAGACCGGGGCACGACGGGTAAAGGCGAGCTTCAAGGAGCGGCGACTCCATCCGTGGAGGTGAAGGTCAGTGGGCGGTTCGCCATCTGTCTGAAGAAAAAAGGATGCTGAGCAGTGAGGGCACCGCTATTTATACGGTACGCACGTACGTATACGTATCCTTACAGTATGCAAAATTTAAGTGGGCGAGTACGTGCGTGTGATAGGAGGAGAGGTAGTACCCATAGAGTCCAGTAGAGGGCGGAGCCTGTGTGAGATAGAACGTTGCTCTTCACTCTCGGACTTTTTTAAATCTGGTGATGAAATGTTTCGCGTTTGTGAATTATTAAAAAACAAAAACACCCCTTAATTTCGGCTTAAAATGCATTGTAGCGCGTGTTGCTAAGATTGTAATTGGTATAATATTACCACAATTATATGAGTACCGCGTTATATTACTGCATTAAAGGAGAAAGCAATACATTACTGTAATTGCATTACTTTTGAGGAGCGTTATTACCTTTACTGCCCCTTGAGTTAATGTAGCATGGTCTGAAAAGGTGAATTTGAGCAACAAATCCATGAAGTTGAAAGGTTATCAGACATTAAATCACTTTACAACCGTTTGATATCAAATTTTATAACTCACTGTTAAATTTTTCCAACAAATATGATTGCATCTTTCAGTGTGACCCTGGATTACCAGTTAAAAACATATACTGCACTCACATTAGTGTAGTCAAACATACATGTGTGTTTGCCTTGAGATTCTTCCTCAAAAGACTTCAGACTTGACTCGGACTTGAGGTGCGGGACTCGTGAATAATGTTTATTTTTAGGAAACATCTGATGAGCTTGCTGTTATTCCCCACCCTGCGTTACCTATAACAATGTTTCCCACAGAATGTTAAGAGACTATGGTGGGTCTCATGGGGGTTCCGGGGACATTCCCCCTGGAAAAAAATTTTACATTTTAAAGTTAAATGCATTAATTTGGTGCAAAATTAAGAGGCTATGAAGAACTTTGTGCACTTGTAAACAGTGTTATGCTCTAATAAACTATTTAATCATAAACCCATTGTATTGCTATAAATGGTGATGATGTTTTTCCAAAAAATCTAAATCAAAAAATAGAAAATAGAATAAGAAATTTCTCTAACATTTCATTGTTGTTGTTTTTTTGGACACATGTAATATGTTTTGTACTTACTGTGAGTACAATCCAATTTATCTAATTTCCATATTGTATAGGCAACTTATTTTGAAAACCGGATGTTGTCACATGTGTGTCCTCACGCTAATTTCATTAAGTCCAACCAGAGTCCGACCATAGACTGTATGAGTCCGACCCAACTTGATAAATAATGTTGTGTGTGGTTCTTGTATCCTGGTTTGATTCGTATGTGGTTCTTCATAGCCTCTCTTCTTCAGGTAGGACTCTCATACTGTGACACTTGTCTTTGTAAAGAGAGAAACTGACAGGATAAAGTCGCTAACCTGCCTGTCAGGTCACACTGGTCCATTTCTGTGGATTTACCATAAAGGCTTTAATACGTGTGCACTCCAAATTTAGGTGCAGCTAGCTTAATCGCCTTCTCACAAACGAGTGACAGAAACAGACGTTAACGTTACTGTAGTTACCTCAAAAGAAAATTGGTTGTCTCTAGTTGGTCTGAAATGTTAATGAGATGTGTAAAATACTTTCGGTTCATTTTAAAACTATGGCGGGCCGCCATGGTCACGTTAATTAATGGAAAACACTGCTATTACCTATCTACTTAACACATACGTATCTGCTGTGTGGGGCCACACGTGAGGACGAACAATAAACACCAGCAGCTGCTCTGACATTCATCATAAACTTTGGCTTTAAAACTTCATACAACAAGACCCAAAGAAAGAACAAAATGATTCCCTCCCCAGTGGCCTTCAGTGTAGTACTGTCTGTCTGAGCGAAATTCAGTGAGAGAGGCAGGGTTGCAGGGAAAATGATGAAGATAGACTCTGTCGATGTCCCTCCCATCTCTCCCAGAGAAATGGGAGGGAGGAATTAAGACAATGTAAGAGAGATAAATCAGTTGCCAGAGCTGCAGCTATCTGCAGATCTAATAACATGGAGTTTGAGGACAGGGCAGAGCTCTGCTTTCCACAACTCCTCAACACCTCCTGCAGCAAGCACACATCTTCTTGGTCTGAAGCTGTTCTTGTGAACATTGTGCTGTCCTCCATCTCTCTGCTCACTGTGGCTCTCAACATGCTCGTCATCATCTCAGTGTCTCACTTCAGGCAGAGATTTACTTCAGCTTCTCTTGCATTTTCTGTAACTGTAAAATGTGAACAGCTACTGTAGATAGCATGTATAAGATGGGTTTCTTCTTACTGCTGCTAGAAATGAATAATGTTGCACCTAGACTTATACTCTGCCTTGCTGACTGTTACACTAAAGCTGAAATGTCTGACTTTAACAACAGAGAGTGTGGCTCATGTCCCATCTCCTACTAATAATTAACATTTGTTACTATCCACTGTGACCTTAACTTGGTGGTTGTAATTGTCTATACTTAACCATTTGGTAGTTATACATGTGCTAGATTAGAAAATAGTCAAATATGAGTTTTATTATGTTTGGAATAGTTGTTTGAGTTGTTGTGTCATTTAGATATGTGGACTTGTTTGGTTAATGATACTTTTCGCTTTCCCTCCAGGCAGCTCCACACACCCACCAACATCTTCCTCGTCTCTCTGGCTGTCTCAGACTTTCTTGTGGGCCTCCTGCTGATGCCGGTAAAAATCCTGAAAGGATCCTGTTGGTTTCTAAGAGATCTCATGTGTCCTCTGTATAATTGTGTGTCCTTCAGCATTACCTCTTCCTCAGTAGGAAACATGGTGCTCATCTCACTTGACCGATATGTTGCCATTTGTCACCCTCTGCATTATACCACCAGAATCACTGAGAGAAGAGTTAAACTCTGTGTTTGTCTGTGTTGGTTCTGTTCTGTTTTCTACAGCAGTCTCCTTTTTAAGGATGACCTGACTCAACCAGGTAGGCATAATTCCTGCTATGGTGAGTGTGTGGGTGTCATTGACCAAATCGCAGGAGCAGTTGACCTTGTTTTGACCTTTATTGTTCCAGTTACTGTCATCATCGTTCTGTATATGAGAGTGTTTGTAGTGGCTGTGTCTCAGGCTCGTGCCATGCGCTCTCACATTACAGATGTCACACAGCAGATTTCAAAGATTCCAAAGACAAAGAAATCTGAGCTGAAAGCAGCCAGGACTCTTGGTGTTCTTGTAGTTGTGTTTCTAATATGTTTCTGCCCATATTATGGTATGTCTCTTGCAGGGGACAGCTTGCTCAGTACTTCTGCATCCTTTGGGATCTATCTGTTTTATTTTAACTCGTGTCTAAACCCTGTGATTTATGCCATGTTCTACCCCTGGTTTAGAAAAGCAGTTAAACTCATAGTTACTTTTCAGATTCTGCAGCCTGGCTCCTGTGAGGCCAAAATACTGTAGAGAGACTGTGAAGTGACTGAAATAAAATCTCGTCATGTTTTTCTTCTTTGTCTTCATATAGTATATAAACAGTATATAAGAAAACTCTGCATTGCTCTACTCATTGCCAAAGTTATGTAAGAATTACATCATCTTGTATATTTGGGACAAGAATAATTACGACAAAATAATGATTTTGTTCAGATCAGTTCTTTTTTTTTTTTTTGGTCATGTACTCTGCTGCTATTTTGATTCTATCATGATTGGGTCAAGCATGTAGGAGGGAAAAGTAAAATAGCACTCTCTTACAAAATGTTGTAAACCATGCGAATTTTCTATCCACTTTTCACAATTATCAGTACTTTCATAGATAAACTGTTATTTGATATACACACATGTAAACTCAAGTCAACCTTTTTGATGTCAAATTTTAGATTTATTTTCCTTAAGGTAGAATGTTTTATATTATTTTTGAACGGGATGGTTATGAACGTGTAATGTAAAAAATTTAAAAATAAGTTAACTCAAATTATAAGGGCCTGCAAAAAGGAGTATTATAAGAACAAAATAAATAATAATATAAACCATATTAAAGGAATATGGGATATAATGAATAGTATAATAAGAAATAGTCCTAGACTGATAGGTTAAGTATATTATTAATAAGGATAAGGAAAATTACAATATGGATGATGTGGCTAATCAGTTCTTTGTAACTGTGGGACCTGACCTAACTGGAAAAATCCCTGATCCTGGGACATCTGAAGATCACTGTAATGTGAAATCCATATATATATACACACACACATACACACACTATATATATATATAATTTCTCATTTCAAAACAGGTTCATTTCCAAACAAAATGAAAAACAGCCAAAGTCATACCTCTGTATAAAAATGGGAGCAAACACCACTTCACAAACTACAGACCTGTCTCCTTACTTCCACAATTATCCAAAATTCTTGAAAAAGTCTTTAATAACAGATTAGATACATTCTTGGATAAACATCAATTACTCACTGACAGTCAATATGGATTCAGATTAAACAGCTCTACATCGATGGATCGAGTGTCATAGATCAAAAAATTATGTAATGGGGGTATTTGTTGATCTCAAAAAAGCTATTGATACAATTAACCATGACATACTAATAAATAAACTGGAAAGGTATGGTATCAGGGGGATAGTATTAGACTGGGTGAGGAGTTAGAGAGACGACAGTTTGTGAAGTTGGGAAGCTCCAGGTCAGTGTTTTTGGACATTGCTTGTGGTGTCCCCCAGGGGTCAGTGTTGGGACCAAAACTGTTTATTTTGTATATTAATGACATATGTTCAGTATCTAAGTTGTTGAAGATGGTGTTATTTGCAGATGATACAAATATATTATGTTCAGGTGAAAACTTACAGCAACTAGTGAAGGATGTAACTAAAGAAATTAACAGATTAAAAATATGGTTTGAAATAAATTATGATTAAATTTAAATAAAACTAAAATAATGTTATTTGGGAATTGCAATATCAATATTCAGGTGAACATACAAATAGACGGGGTTATAATTGATAGAGTTCATGAAAATAAATTTCTTGGGGTGATTATAGATGATAGAATCAATTGGAAATCACACATTAATCATGTACAATCCAAACTATCAAGATCAATTGCAGTATTAAACAAAGCAAAGCAGGTTCTGGATCAAAAATCACTCCACATGTTGTACTGTTTACTAGTTTTACCATATTTTATTTACTGTGATGAGATTTGGGAACACAACTACAAAAGTTCATTACTTTCACTATCTGTTCTCCAATAAAGAGCAATAAGAATTATTCACAACACTGGGTATAGGGATCACATTCACTCATTATTCTTCTTATTCAAAATTATTAAAAGTTAAAAGTTATAGTTATGAAACAGTTTTAATGAGGATCTAAAGCAATGTCCAAACATGGTTTTCAATGGTTACAGGGATGAAGAAGGGGGTGAATAATCAGAGTGTTTTTGGGGCTGGTCAGTTTCATTGTGTTATTATTACTTAATTTTTTTCCTGAGATGCTGAAATTTATAATTTATTCTTTCCTCCTATTATTATTTATTATTATATTATTATTATTATTAGTTTTTTCTTGATTAAATAATTGATGTGCATTTTGAATTGCTTTGGGGTATAACAAAGTAGATGTGTAAATATTTGGAACACAGGTCAATTATTTGTAAGATTTTGATTTGTGGATAGGAGGTGGGATTAAAGTTTTTTTATTCTTCTTCCCACTCCTTTTTGAATATGTAATGGACATTGACAAGAGTTAAAAAGTCTTTGGCTGCAACTATTGTTCATTTTTTTTTTTTTTTTATTGTGTTATTCTAATCACTGTGATTTGTCTAGTTGATTTCACTTGAAATAAAAATAAGAAAAACTATATTATATATATATATATATATATATAATTACTCATTTGCATCTTTAAACATAAAATTTTTAAGAACCCGCAATACAAAAAGTATTGTCTAAAGTAAGTAATCAACTAGGAAAGTTTCATGTTGATATACATTTGTTTAATTTTAATCCTGTTGGCCTGTAGTGTCTTGCCTTAAAAAAATGCATATTTAAAATCTCAGAGTTATGAAAACATAAAAATCATGACTGTATTGGCATGTATTTTTTTCAGGCAATACCACTACCTAAACAAACAAACAAAAATGTTGACTGTAAATGGTAATGTTTTTCTTAATACATAAGCATTCTTAATTTTAGCACAGTATGCTACAGGTGCTGTATAATAGGCCATATTATACATCTTTATCAAGGGAACCCTTAGCCGAATAATCTTAATTTTATCATTACACATATGGACCTAACATGGGTAAAACATCACCTAGTGAGCCATTAGAATAATTAGCCAAAGTTGCAACTGGATTAGGGAACTATGATAGCTATAAAAACAATGCCAAATACCTTGTGCTGCGTTCAAGTATTTTTTGTGTCTGCTGCTCAGAGATTATTTTGCCCATTTGTAAAATGTAGCCTATGCGCTAAATGAAGGAAAACCTTTCAGATCATTTAGGCATCGTGCAATGTAAATGTTCGATATACAAACAACAAGAACAGGGTAAGGACCAACAACGATCAAGCAGCGATGGAGTGGAGAACCGGGGTTGATATGCAGGCAGGGATGAGGTTGATTGCTGGCAGGTGTGGCAGGCAGAGGAGGTGGCTGACCAGGTACAGGTGCGGGTTGTTGGCTGGGCTCAGGAGTAGAGGGAGAGAGAGAGGGAGAGTACACGCAAGGGAGGAGACACAGGGAGGCAGGCAGAGTACAGAAAAACACCAGGGGAAAACAGAATCACAAGCAAATAAACAGGACACTCACCGTCAGCCGGGCTGCCACCACAACATCAATGAAGAGTCCATATCTCAACTAAAACCTCCTCTTCTGGATCCCAGCAAGCAAACGATTAAAGTACTCAGTTTCAATACAAAAATTGGCCTATGAAAATAAAACCAAGCGATGCCTCTTGAATCTAATAGACAAGCTGGCAAGCAGCGCACCGGCAGTCACTCAGTATTGGATCTCTTCCACTGCTGCCACAGCTGGAGCCAATGAACATTACAATATGCTTTTTAATTGTAAAACATTTACTTATTCAAAGTACAAAGAGACACCTGTGTTCATGTGAAGAGTGATGGAGGGTTAAAGACCACAGAAGGTACCTGCAGGATGGTACAACAAGCACAGATCAATTAAGTGAGCTGAGATTGAAAGGGATTTGGTTTATGACCCAATGCCTAATAACATTTTCTAGAAATCAATCCAATAGTTGTTGAGGCATGTCATGTCATTTCACACACCAAAGTCCATTGGATTCATTCACTTGGGATTCTTGTCTGAAGAAAATCTTACAACATTTCATATTGTGATATTAGTTATTTTACGCTATACATAAAAATCGTCGCATTCAAAAAAGTGTTGAATCTTCTTTCCTTCTGGTGTTAACATCCATCCCAGTCAGTGTGTTGAAGTGATCACAGAAATCTTTCATGTGAAGAAACAGCCACTGTTCTTTGAGTTTTTCATTGCTGTGTGGGGGTTGGTGATGGCATAGCTCTTACAAGCATATGTGACAGCATGCAACAGTGGCTTCTAGTAGGGTTCAAGCATTAATCTCGGATCGAGTCCATAATCGTTCTCACCATAGCTAAATGCTATCTCTCTCTGTCACAGAGCGACCGGAGCACCGGCATATCTCTCATTGCTCTGGTGACGAGTCCGACTATGTTTTGAACAATTAGCGGTGGGGTGGGGGTTACGGTAGGTTGTTGTCTTAAAAGTTGCATGCACACTGCTCAGAAAGAATTTTTCTGATTGCACGTAGGCTTATATGTTTGTAAAGGCACATGTGAGAACCCGGTGTGGGCGGAGATAATGAGCAGAGTGCAGCGCATACAGACAAGAAAGTGTCACACACCTTTTCTGTCTGATTAAACTGCACACTTTTTTGTGGTTATGTAATCGCACGTGATGACATCGCAATTGTGATTGCAATTAGATTAATCGCGCAGCCCTAATATTATTTATATGATGTTACTATATTAATTATAATTTCATATAAAAGTATATTGTATATAGCTATAGCTTACCACTATTATAATATTATTCCAGTTACAGCTGTTTCATTTTGGGGTTGTTGTTTGTGCAAGAAAAATGCTCTACATAGTAGTAAGTCTTTAACTTTTATTTTAAGCAGGCTACTAAGTCGTCAGTAATCATGCCGGTTTATGCAGAACAATGAGTTCAACATTTGAAAAGTTTGCTGTAGCCCATCAAACCTTTTTTAAATGTCCCGCTCCATCCAGATCTGTTCACCATCCATATGGTAGTTATCATGTTGGATATGATGTGAATATTTCTGAGTGAGAATGACTGTGGTGCAGTTGAAACAAAGAAATGTAGTTTAAAAGTGAGTTTAATATTAGCTGCATATAGTCATGTTTTTGGACATAATTTCATTAAATACGATGAGTGAGATGTTATTAATGTAAAATAGACCTCTAAAAACCTTACTGTCAATTTGAACCTAGACACAGGTCCCAGGAGTCCCGCACACTACCGACTGAGCTAAACATGCACACGAGTATCCAAGCATTTCAAATAATTTTACTATGTTCTGGCCCGCCATGTAACAGCTTGAAATAAATCTGGCCCGAAGCCAGACTTATTTGCTGACCCCTGCCATATATGTTCCACAAGACACAATGACCAGGGCCCTGTTTCAAAAAACAGGCTTTACAAACTCTAGCTTAACCCTGAACTCTAAATTGATTGAGCCTGAGGTGGGAAAGTTTTCGGTTTCAAAACAGCTGATCAGAATTAGTTCAGTCAACTGAACTGAGTATGTTGAGACTGATAGAAGCTCGTGCACAGTAATTAAAAAAAGCCATCATCAATAGAGCTCCGATACTCACCATGGCAAAGGGTAAATAAAGCCTCCATTTTAATTGGGCGGAGCTATAAATATGAAGGCTGCTGACGCGGACCGTGATAGGCTATTTATGTACGCAGGAGTGGAGGAAAGATCAATAGGCTACATTAATATTATTACATTTTATTTAGCGTTGCACATTCATCATTTACCACACTGGGATTTCCTTAATGAATGATAAAGTACTGGAATTCTCCTATAGCCCATTACATTCATTTTAAATAGGCGTCAGCGTTTTGTTGAAAGGAAACCTCCTCCCGAAGAGGTTAAGTTCACAGTGTAAGTTGCCGGGGTTACTGATCTAGGGTTTATCTGATCTCGGTCTCTGAAACGGAAAACCAGAGTTTCCCTCATCTCAGGCTTAACTTACTCAGAGTTTGCAGAAAACTCACTTTCTGAAACAGGGCCCAGATATGAGAGACAGTGCAAGGCCACCACAACACTACAGTCAACACACCACATGCTAACTTGAAAGTAAAAGAGAGAGTGGCACTGGTAATGGGCCTTGTAAACCTCATAAGCAAAGACAGTAAAAACAACTTCTCAACACCTCTTGTAACCACAAAGATGTTGAGAAGTTGTTTTTACTGAGGCACTATATTCCCTATCAATTTATTTAGTTTTTATGTTATTTTGGGTGGCCTTTTGTTGCCTTTATTTTTAGATAGTAGCAGCTGTAAGTTAACTTACACAGATGGGGGGGGGGCAAGCAGCAAAGAGCCACGGGCTGGAATCACTGCATCCATTTGAGCTGGTCTAATATTAACGTTACATCTCACGTAATGTTTATATGGCTTTTTGTTTCCAATGCATGTGTGACTGCAAGCACAAGTCGGCAAACCACAACCGAACCCAGATTTACCCTGGTTTCTGTGCATTTTGACATGGTGATAAAATCTACAACGTCACAGCGTTTATGCAGATAAATGATATTGTTTGCATAACTTTAAATCCAACAGCCAGAAAAGACTCCAGAAGAAGGCACAGACGTCGCAAAAAGTTATGTTCCACCAACAGACAACAAACTGAAAAAAAAATGAACAAGAGATGGACTTAAATCACGACGAGTCAGCCTCTAACATTAGACACAAAGAGGTTTAAAGTTAATAGACGTTAACCTTCCCGTGTAACGTTAGCTTGCGGCAGAGAAGCATAACGTTATTAACGGTAACATTAAACGTTAATAGACGTTACCGTCTACCTAGCGAAAGAGGAACATAACGTTATCAATGGTAACGTTAAACATTAACGTCAACCTTATAACGTTAACATTACAAGAGGATGAAATGACCAAATAACCAAACGTTAACCATACCAATGTAACCTTAAACGTTACATTGTTAACTTCACGTTAACATTAATAACCTTTACATTTTATGACAGTGGGAATAGCAAGTTAACTAGAAAATGTGAAATGTTTACATATAACAGTGTAAATATTATAGCTTACTTATGTTTTTGTTGTTTTTTTCTCCTTTGTCCTTTTACCGCCATTTCCAACAAAAATATATCCCCTCCCATTGGTCATTTATATATATATATATATATCGTGTATATATATATCAAGTATATATACAGTATTTTACTGCACCTATTA